TATATATATATATATATATATATATATATATATTTAAATATTTATTGATGAAAGTATAAGGATGTCTGGGATTAGTTTTAAAATATTGCAGTGATACATCCATACAATGGAATACTATTTAGAAATAAAAAGCAATGAAGTTCTGCTACATGTTACAACGTGGATAAACCTCACAAACATTATGCTCAGTGAAAGAAGCCAAACACAAAAGAACACATATTGTACAATTCCATTTATATGAAATGTCTGGAAAAGGCAAATCTACAGAGACAGAAAGTAGATTAGTCCTGAACTAGAGCTGAGCATGGGAATGGGTCTGGAAACAGGTTTTTTAGGGGGGTGAAGAAAAAGTTTTAAAATTAGACTGTGGTGATGGTTGCTGAACTAGGTAAATATACAGAAATTGATAACTAGTGCACTTAAAACAGGTGAATTTTATGGCACATAAATTATATCTCAATAAAGCCGTTAATAAAGAAAACATTCTAGTGCAGGAGGGCAGGAAATGGGTGGACACGGATGAGCCAGACTAGCCAGGAGTTGACATTTGATTGAAGCAGGGTAGAAGACACATGAGAGGTCATGACACTATTCTTTCTTTGTGTATATGCTTGAAATTGTATTTAATAAATATTTATTGAACAAATTAATTAATATTTCATGGGATTTGTCCCAATTTCACAAGAACAGTTCTCTGTAGATTTCCCAGGAAAAGTAGAGAGCCACAAATCAGTCAGTGAATTACCTACCTAGATGCCTCAGTCCCTAGGGGCCCTCTCTTAGAGGGTCTATCACTTACCTGCGGTAAGGGACAGGCTCTCCCTGTCCCCAGATCACACTTTTCCTGAGGTGTTTGTGGACAGGAGGTGCATTGGAGATTTTGGGGCTTTGGGGTCCTGGGTCTCCAGTGGACAGCATGCTGGAGGCTTCACTTTCTCGAGACCCAACTGAGAGGGCCCTTGAGATCTCACTTACCTGTCACTCCCACGGCAGATACGGGGCCCATGCGCTGCCCCTCGTGGAGGCCGTACAGGTGCATCTTGTACTTGTGCTCAGGCTCCAGGTCCCCCACGGTGACCTCACTCTCCTCGCCTCCAACACGCACCACCTGGGGCTGCCCATCCCTGTCCTTGTACTGGATGGTGAAGGAGTCGAAGTGGCCCTGGGGGACAGTCCAGGAAAGGCTCAGAGAGTCTGGGGACGATCCTGTCACCGTCAGCTCTCCCAGAACTGGCTCCTCAGGGGGCTCCAGGGACTCTGTGCTGAGTTCTGTGGGGCTGGGGATCTCGTCCACCTCTGTGGGGGCGGGGGTCTCTTCTTCTGGAGCTGAGGAGGGGAAACAGAGAGGGTGAGGCAGGGTGCCTGGGGATGTCCTGGGATCTTGGAGAGAAGGATGGACCAGCCTTGACCACGACTGGGGGCCCTGAGGTCAGTTCACACAAGCCCATCTGGGGCTCGGTGGTCCTGCTAGTCTGACAGCTACCAAACATGCCCAGGCTCCGGGGTCAACTGTGGGCTCCCAGGGTAGCCACCACCACAACACAGCTCTCCATGGCCCCTGCCTACCCAGGAGGAGCCACGGTCAAGCACAGAGGACGGACAAAGGGAGCCACAGCCTCAGCCCCAGCAGGTCTGTGGTACTGACTAAGACCCTGAACCATGCCCCGTTTAGTTGTCCCCAAAGAGCATGAGGGTGACCCTTCCACTACGTCCCACCCTGGGGCTCCCCTATCCACTCACCCGTCACCCCTGTGACAGAGACGGGGCCCACACGCTGGCCACCGTGGAAGCCATACAGGTTCATCTTGTACTTGTGGTCTGGCTCCAGGCCTGAGACAGTGACCCCATCCTCATGCCCTGGCACCCACATTGCCTTGGGCTGCCCGTCCCCATTCCTGTACTGGACCAGGAAGTGATCAAACTGGCCCTCGGGGACTGTCCAGGAGAGGCTCAGGGAGTCAGGGGTGGCGTCTGTCACAGTCAGTTCCCCCAGGTGCGGCTTGAGGGGAGGCTCTGGGGTCATGGTGGGAGGTTCTGAGGGCTGATCATCCTCTTCCCGTGGGACTGAACAAAAACATGAAGAGTAAGAAGGACACTAGAGAGGGGCAGGGTTCCACGGGGACTTGCCTCTCCTCCGAATTCTCCCAGCCATCTGGAAGGATGCAGAGTGGGCAGAGTTCTCCCTCACCTGTCAGGGCCTCGATATGGGCAGAACCCACACGCTTCCCATCATGGAAACCATACAGGGTCACCAGGTATCTGTGGTCGGATTCCAGGCCGGAGAGGGTGATGTCATTCTGGTCACTCCCTATACTGACCACTTGGAGTTGCCCATCTCTATCTGTGGACTGGACCTCGAAGGAGTCAAATTCTCCCTCAATCACTGTCCAGGAGAGATGCAGGGTGTGTGGTGTGGCTTCCTCCACCGTCAGCTCCCCAAGGCGGGGCTCAGGTGCAGGAGGGGCTGGTGCAGAGGTTTCCGCTTCTTCCCTAGGGGCTGGTTCGGAGAGACAGTTAGAGATGGATGACTGGTCTGTCGCTGCACCAAGGCTCTCAGGAGGAGGGAGCAGGGAAGAGGAAGGAGGAAAGGAGGGAAGGAGGGAAGGAAGTAAAGGCAAAAGGTTAGCAATAAAAGGAACAGCTTTTGACATACACAGATGAATTTCAAAAGCAGTATGCTAAGTGCAAGAAGCTTTTAAATACAAGAGACTACGGGCCGGCCTGTGGCTCACTCGGGAGAATGCGGTGCTGATACACCAAGGCCACGGGTTCGGATCCCATATAGGGATGGCTGGTTTGCTCACTGGGTGAGCGTGGTGCTGACAACACTAAGTCAAGGGTTAAGATCCCTTTACCGGTCATCTTTAAAAAATAAATAAATAAATAATAAATAAATAAATAAATACAAGAGATTACATATTGTATGTTTCTGTTAAATGAAATGATTAAAAAAGCAAACGATATAACAATAGAAAGCAGATCAGTGGTTGCCGGGAGGGTGGGGTTGGGGGAGCTGACTGCAAGGGGACACAAGGAAACTTTTTGGGTTGATGGAAATGTTCTATATCTCAATTGTGGTCAAGGTTTTATGACATGCATTTGCCAAAACTCATTGAATTGTTCCCTTAAAAGGGGTGAATTTTACTATATGCAAATTATGCTTTTATACAGCTGATCCCTTCTCCCAAAAGAGGGGAAGTGGGAAGCTCAGAGGTCTTATGGCTCAGTCAGATCAGGAGAGCCAGGTGGGAAGAAGGCACAGGTTTTTCCGCTGCTGCTGCACTCACCAGTCACGGCGATGGCCGAGATGGGACCCACACGCTTGCCGTCATGCTGCCCGTAGAGCAGTAGCTTGTACCTGCGGGCGGGGTCCAGGCCCAAGATGCTGACCTCCCGGAGGCTGCCCTCCACGGGCACCACCTGGGGCTGCCCATCCCTGTCCTTGTACTGGACCACAAAGGAGTCAAATTGGCCTTCAGAGACCATCCATGAGATGCCTATGGAATCCGGCGTCACACTGGTCACCTGCAGCTCCTCTCCCAGACGGGGTTTTGGGGGATGCTTTGTTCCAGGATCATCCACAGCACTCTGGGACTCTGAGATGGAGACATGAAGTGGAAATGGCTAAGCTGTTTCTGGAAGCCTGGGTGACCTCAAAGGACAAGATGGAGAGATCTGGAGACAGGGCTGTGCATGGTTGAGTCCCACAGGACTGGTGCTATGGGCTTGTGCAAGGACATGGGGGAGCTGGATCTGAGCCAAAGTGGCCGGGGCCAAGCAGTGGTAATGGCAGACACCACAAGTGGCCACCTGCTGTCCTGGGCCCCCGGGGGCAGAGCAGGGCCCTGCAGAGGATGTCCCTCACCCGTAGTGCCGTCAGCAGTGAGGGGGCCGTGGCGCTTCTTGCCCAGGAGGCCATAAAGGAGGAATCTGTACTTTCGGCCCACGTCCAGAGGGGCAATGGTGACTGAGCGCTCATGGCCCTCCACAGGCACCACCCGGGGCCCGTCTTTGTCCTTGAACTGGACCACAAAAGAGTCGAACTGGCCCTCGGGGACTGTCCAGGAGAGGCGCAGTGAGTCTGGGGTGGGGTCTGCCACCCACAGCTCCCCGAGGCGGGGTGGGGCCCCTGGGCTGGTGTCACTTCGGGCAGCTGAAAGAGAGGAAAGGTTCTTGTGTTTACTTTTTCCAAAATGACTCCTTAACTGCCTCCTTCTGGGGTTGGAAAAGACCCAGAACTGCGCAAATGGTCGGTGCTTCCCTGAAATATTTCCACCACCCTCCCATCCTTACCACCATCTCCAACTGGCCCATGCCTCCCTCCACTTGACAAGTGTGGGGAGGGGTCTTCTGTCCTGAGTCATCTCTGGGAAAATAAGAGTCCCTAGCTTCCCTCCTTGTCTTATTCCTCCAGCTCCCCAGACTCTTCCCACCTCTTAGAGACTATCCCTAGCAGGGTACGGCTCATCCCAGACTTCTACCCAGGAGCTCACACTTTGTGATTTGGCTGGCCCCTGGGGAAATGGGGTGCGGGATACAGGACCCCTGACGGGGGCAGACAGCAGGTGGGGAGGCAGGATCTTATGACTGGGGTGGTTCTTGCGCCACTCGTTCTACACCAGCCAGACTCAGAGGTAAGACTCCCCCAGGGCCTGGTGGAGGAGCGGGGGCTGCCTGCGAGTGTGTGTTGGGGGGGAGTTGAAGGAAGGAGTACAGACGGGGAAAGGGCCTGGTGTCTGCTGAGGAGCCATCCCAGGGCCTGGGAAGGAGCCGGCCTGCTGCCTTCTTGGACAGCGAGGGCGCTGACGCATGCTTATTGCGAGAGTTTTCTGGCAACGGCGAGCCTCCAGGGGCAGGAGAGGGCCTGGACTGAACCCCAGGAAAGGGGCACAGCTGGGCTGGGCTCCTCTGATTCCCAGTTTCTGAGGCTCCAGGAGGAGGGCAGAGGAGGAAGGGGAGCCTCTGTGGGAGGCAGATATGGGACCAGATGGGCCTGAGCCAAGAGGGTGAGAAGCTAGGTGAGAGTCAGAGGGGAGACAGTGAAATTCAGAAGGCGACAGCCTTGCATGGCCCAGGGAGGAGGAAGGGCTTCTGGCTATCCTCGACCCCTTGCCCAGCACCCTAGTCTCCCACCTTCCATCCTCCAGGAAGGGGCCTGCAGGGTCTTCACCATCCAGCAGAAGTAGAAATTATGAGAGGAGAGGAAAAGTCAGCAGGGGAGGAGAGACTCAGGAACTAGCCCCATTCTCCCGATCTTTGTCTGCTTTGGACTGGGCAGGTAGCATGGCTTTTCAAATGACAGGAAAGACCTGGCAGAAGGGAGTGCGAAGAAGGAAGGAAGAAAGGAAGGCTGGTGCTTGGGGCCTCTCACCTGTCCTTGCCTCCACAGAGACTGGGCTGAGTCGTTTCCCATCCCAGATCCCGAACAGCAGGAACTTGTACTTGCGGGAGGGCTCCAGGCCGGGGACTGTGACCTCACGCTGGTCTGCAGACGCCAGCATTACCTGGGGCTGTCCGTCCCTGTCCTTGTACTGGACCACAAAGGAGTCGAATTTGCCCTCAGGGACTGTCCACAAGAGGCCCACGGAGTCGGGAGTCACATCCGTCACTGTCAGCTCCCCCAGGCGTGGCTCCAGAGGGGGTTTGGAGGTGGCTGGGGCTGGTGGGAGGGGAGCTGGGATCCGGGAAGACAAAGAACACAGGAGATCTCTGAGGGGAGAACTATTGTGCTCCGAGGCCTCAGGGGACTGTGAGCTGAGTTGGGGAACAGTTACATCTTTATTTTCACTGACTTCTAACTGAAATGAAGTATTTCCTTCAATGATCAACACAGGAAACTAACCACAATAGTAGTATTGTTACTTTGTCACCAGTAGAAATCACAGATGTTCACATCACCTTAGAGTTATTACAGAAACTTCAAAATACCGTTGATACTCATCACTACTTCCAAATGTGGCAGTTTATCAAACATGCCACCAAGTCTTGTTATTTAATGAATAAGCCCAGGTATTACTAAGTCACAAATTTGAGTTTTTATTTTTTTAAAGATGACTGGTAAGGGGATCTTAACCCTTGACTTGGTGTTGTCAGCACCACACTCTCCCAAGTGAGCTAACCGGGCATCCCTATATGGGATCCGAACCCGTGGCCTTGGTGTTATCAGCACCGCACTCTCTCAAGTGAGCCACAGGCTGGCCCTATAAATTTGAGTTTTAAAGAACTCTTTTGATAATTATATATCAAGATAATTGGTTTCTTTTGTAATCATATATACATTTTATTTTATAGATTTGAAAAGATTGGTCTGAGAGGGACCAGGGGTTCCACCAGATGCCACAGCACAAAAATTGTGAGGGCTGGCCCGTGGCTCACTTGGGAGAGCATGGTGCTAACAACACCAAGTCAAGGGTTAAGATTCCCTTAACTGGTCATCTTTAAAAAAAAAAAAAAAAATTGTGGAGAACCCATGCCCAGGAAGCCATGAGGGGCGGGAAGGAGCCAGGAGCCAAGAGAGATGGCAGCTTCCCAGAGGGACAAAGACTGGCACGGCCGGAGGGAATGCAGCTCAGGCCAGGAGGCCAGGACCTCCGAGAAGAGATTCCAAGAGGTGTGTCGTCTAACCCCAGTGAAAAAGGGCAGAAGAGGGAGGTGGCAGCCCTGTCCAAGTCACAGCAAGGTTGTAAAGAGAATGGAAGGAAACAGCTATGGACAATCGGAGAGGGAGAGAGAGTCTACATCTGGATTTAGGGCAAATGGAAGGAACATATTCCCGCAGGGTGAGGAGGTAGAGTGGAGATGGGGAAGGGACTGCGGGGTGGGGAAGGCTCCAGCCCTGAGGAGGAGCCATGCGGTCAGGAAACAGACTAAGATGACTGTGAGCCAGGGAAGGACCTGTAGGGTCACTGAGGCAGAGCCCGAGGGGGTCTAGCCCCTCAGGGAGGGAAGAGTGGTGCCCAGGCAGGGCTGGGAAAAGGGTCTCAGGCTGGGGAAGCTCTGGGTAACCAGGGATGGGGAGTGCTTCAACCCCTCACTCACCCGTCATGGCTATCACAGAGAGGGGGCCAACACGTTGCTGACCATGTAGCCCATAGAAGTTCATCTTGTATTTTCTTGCAGGCTCCAGGTTGGGGACTGTGACTTCAAGCTGGTCTGCAGACACAGGCACCACCTGGGGCTGTCCATCTCTATCCTTGTAGTGAACCACGAAGGAGTCAAACTGGCCCTCAGGGACAGTCCACGAGAGGCCCACAGAGTTGGGAGTCACATCTGTCACTGTTAGCTCCCCCAGGCGTGGCTCCAGGGGGGTGTTGGTGGCTGCAGGGCTCTCTTCTTCTGGTTGTGGGGCTGGCACAGAGATGGCAGTGGCTGTTAGGAGAGGACCCTTTTTTCCCTTGGTAGTAATTATGTCTGTTGTTTTTGTGGTACCCATGAGGTAAAGTCCACGGATCGGCAACATCTGTCTGGCCAACAATCCTTCACTAAGTCCCTGCCAAGTGTCTGGGGGTGTGCTTGCTGGGAGGCGGGAGGGGGAGAGGTGTCAACTGTTACTGAGACCCTGGGAAAGTGGCTGAAATTCCATCTGTATGTCAATGAGTCCAGATTTATACCCCCTGCCCAGACAGCTCCCCTGACCCCCGGCTTGCTTAACATCTTCCTTGGGTACCTAATTGGAATCTCAAACTCAACAAGTCCAAAACCGAGCCCCCGGGCTTCTCCTGATGCCTGTTCCCTCCACAGCCTCCCACCTCAGTAAATAACAACTTTGTTTCTCCAGCTGCTCAGGTCATAATCCTTCGAGTCATGCCTGAGTCCTCTCTGACACCCACATCTGCCCTGTGGGTAAGACCTATTGTCACTGCCTTCAAAATCTGCCCCCTCCTCACCACTGCTACTACTGCCACCTCCAAGCACCTCGGGTTCTTCCTGGACTATCACAACAGTCTCCCAGACCGCCTCCTTCCTTCTGCCCTCACCCCCTTCAGTCTGCTGTGTCTGTGGCCAGAGGGATCCTGTTAACACATTAGTCAGAGCCTGTTCCCGCAGTGGCTTCCATCTCACTCACAGTAAAAGCCAAGTCCTTTCTGTGGCCTCTGAGGTCCCACATGTTAACCTCTGACATCACCCTGCTGCACGCCTCACTGCCCGCCCCTCCCGCTCTTATCTGTCCTTTCCTCTGCCTGTCCTCTCGCCAGCATCAGGCCTTTCCTCAAATGTCCCCTCTCGGCAGGGCCCTCACCTACTGGGCTTCACTTTTCTCCACAGCTCTTGACACTGTCCCATACGGCACCATGATGTGCTTGTGCAAATCGCTACCTGTCACCCTCCACTAGAATGTGAGGTCCACAGGCGGGGGCTCTGCCTTGTGCACTGCTGTGTCTGGCGCCCGGCACACAGTGGGCGCTCAACAGATGTGTGTTAAATAAACGAGCGGTCTGCGGGTCTGGACTGGGGAAGCTGAGCTTAGGATCTGCCCATCGCCTCTGTCCCAGAATGAGCTGGCTCTGGGAGGGAGGCAGTCCTCATTAGTGACCGAACTGGAAAGTGGTCCCAAGAGACAAAATGGCAATGGGGGTGACTGGGGGGGGGGGGCTCCCGAGATCTTGTTTCTCTAGCTTCCATGGAAGGGCAAGACTAGGCTCCAGACAGGTGAAACCTGCTTAAAACAGGCTGGTAACCAGGTGTCAGGCAGACAGAAAAGAGTCTGGGTGGGAAGGACAGGATGGAGGCAGCTGAGGGGGATGGGTGGGACCAGAGTGACCACCATGTACTATGTACAGGGACCAGGCCAGGCATGTTCTTTCCTTTTGTGTGCCTTCTAACCATGGTAGTTCCTGTAGCGTCCACTTCCTGCTGGTTTTGCCATCTCTGTACTTCCTTCCATGAGGGAGAGAAACTGTCCCTCACCATCAAACCTGACTGCTAGTGGTTTGGCTTAACTGGAAAGGGCGAGATTATAATTGTTGGTGAGTATGACAGTCCCCACTGCATCTGGGAAGTGTTTCTAAGTAGCCCCACGTATTTCTCCTCCCAGCCCCACCAAGAGCCTCAGCCTGCTCTGCTGATGAACACCCACGTCCACTTCTTTCTTAATGGGCCACTTCCATTTTATCCAAGACATGCAAAATACATGTTTAAAAATATACAGCACTAGAATTCGATATACAGTGATCTCTCCACAGGATGGTCTCAGCAAAAGTCAAAATGAGCTGAGAACATGCTAGACATGTTATATCACCACCTCTAACCCACTGTGGCAAAGTCGGTGGCGTTTGCTCCATCTTGAAAATGAGGAAGCTGAGCTTCCAGGAGAGGTGGTAAGTTTTTCAAGATCACACAGTTGGGGAAACCAGGAATGGAACTCAGTTTGTCAAATTCCAAAAGTCTATTTCCCTCTATAGCATTGCCTGTTAGAACCCATCCTTACCCTGAGGACCAGGCACAGGGCCTCACAGAGCCTGGTGTGGCTGCCTGGGACAGAGGCACAGAACGAGAGTCACCCAGGAGAAACCTTGGCAGCATGTTCTGGGCCTGGCATGAGCCTCCACTCTACCTCAGGCCCTGAGGCCAGTAACTCAGGGTGGCTTCCCCTTTCCCTCTTCTCAGTGCTGACTGAGCAAAGAAAAGAAATTAGGAGTGGAAGTTTGTGGAAACTAAGCCAACCATGTCACTATGAGGTTGAGCTTTGTGGAAGTAGAGAAACCATGTTCTAGAAACCTGTTTCTCTACCTTTACGTTTCTAGTCTTTCCCCTTATAGTAAAAGTTGTTTTTGAAAAAGGTGCGTCTTTGTTTCAGTGAGTAAAGGGAAAATGAGACCCCCTCACTGTGACCAAGCTGGGCAGGTCAGCAGGAGAGTTCCAGAGGCACTGCTGCCCACCCAGCCTCTTGGGCTGAGGCTCTGGAGAGGAGGTGCCCAGGCTGGGTCCTTTGTGGTTGCAGAGGTGGCCCTGTAACCAGGTCCAAGACAAGGGGCAGAAGGAATGTTCTTCTCTGCTGTAAAGTCACTCACTGAACGAGGGTTAAAGAAAGTTTTGAGCTGCACTGATGAAAAGGCCAATGTCTCATATACATTCTGACCAACTAAGGAGCTGAACCAGCAAAAAGGGACAAAGCAGACCCCTGAGTAAGGGTGATTACAATAATCATAGCAGCAAATGCTGACAGCATGTTTACTTTGTGCCAGGCCCATCCTCAGTGCTTTACAACTGTTAAGTCATTTAATCCTCGCACTAGTTCTGTGAGGTAGGTGTTACCTCCATTTCACAGACAAGGAAACAGAGGCACAGAAGGTTTAAAACTTGCTCAGGTCCTGAAAGCTCAGTGACCTCTATTTCTAGGTCTTCCCCAAACAGGTGGGGCCTTGTGGTTCCACTGGGGCAAGGGAGAGCAACTGGCTACAAGGAAGCTGGGGGCCAGCAGTAGGAGAGAACCAAAGCAGGCCCCTGCCCCCTCACTCACCTGTCACTCCCATGGTGGACACGGGACCCATGCGCTGCCCCTCATGGATGCCGTACAGGTGCATCTTGTACTTGCGCCCAGGCTCCAGGCCCCCCACGGTGACCTCACTCTCCTTGCCCTCGACACGTACTGCCTGGGGCCGCCCATCTCTGTCTTTGTACTGGATGGTGAAGGAATCGAAGCGGCCCTGGGGGACAGTCCAGGAGAGGCTCAGCGAGTCTGGGGATGATCCTGTCACTGTCAGCTCTCCCAGAAGTGGCTCCTCGGGGGGCTCTGGGGTCTCCATGCTGGACTCTGTGGGGCTAGGGGTCTCATCCACAACATCCTGGGGGGCTAAGAGAAGAGATGGGGGATACAGGCTGTAAGGGTGACTTGCTTTGCTGCTGTCGTCGATAAAGACAATCAAGTCCACCAGCAACATACTCCTCAAGTTTACTAGGAGCTCAGTAGGCTAAGGGACTTACGTAGCCTTTGTATTAGCCACTTAGTCACTCACAGAAGGAGAGAGGGCTAAGAGCCCCCAATATTTGTCCTGTACTGCTGGTGGGACTGCACTAGTGGGTTCTGTGGGCCTGGGGGTCTCCCCTCATGTCTGAGAAAGGAGCCAAGATGGGAAGAGAGGAAACTTCTGAGGATCCTTCCATACTGCATTCACTAACTGTGCTGACCTCAGGAAAGCGAGGCGGGCAGTGAAGCCTCTTCCCACCTATGCCCCTTCCCAGGGCGCTCTGGCTGCCCCATCCCCTCACCTGGACAGGATCATGGAATGTGCTCCGGCCACGCCCTCCCTGGACAGCCCTGCCCCTGTCTGCCCTTTAACCCTAAGGTATGAATTGCTAAGGCAGGGTTCTAGACAAGAGTGGGTGAAAGATTCAGGGGTGGGTGGAGGTTGGGAAGGCCCCTGCTCTTTCCTGGCTGGCTCTGGAATCACACCCCGAAGGCCACCAATTTATTGTCCCTGCAGTTAGGTCTTTGCGGAGGGTCCATGGTATAGGGAGACTGTGGCACAAGGAAAGCCAGCCCTTCTGTGACCCACTCCCTGGTCCATGGGGGACTACTTACGGGACAGGAGATTGAGGAGGGAACAGGCAAGAATGATAACCCCGGCAAGGCTGGGAAAGGGAGGGAGGTGAGGAGCAGAAATGTTTACTAGGAAGTGAGAGAATCAGGGAGAAACAGAAGCTCACTCTTAAGTAGCAGTTTTGATGTGCCAGGCACTATTCTCGGTGCTATTTGTATATGAACTCATTTAATTCTGACAACTCTGTGTAGTGGCTACCATTATTATCCCCATTTGACAGAAGGGAAAGGTGAGACACAGAGAAGTTAAGTGGCTCGCACAAGGTCCCTTAGGCAATAAGTTGTGAAGCTGGCAGTAACAGCCAGGGAGTTGGCTCCCGAGCCCATGCTCCTGACCACTACGCCACAATACCTCTTGGCAAAGGCTTCATGGGCCATGGGAATGGCAACAGACTGAGAGAGCCTGGGGACATGGAGGAACAGGCTGGGATGCAGGGCTGCAAGTGAGCCCTTTGCCCCGTTCCAAGCTGGCTGGGAGTCAGGGGCTGGGAGGAGTCCTGTTCATGCCTCAAAGAGGCTGGGAAAATGCAGTGCTCTTGTCCTTCAGATCTGCCACCTCTGAACAGGGCAGCAATGGTGTGAGGGTCGGGGGAGTGGTGACAGAATCTCAGAAACGGCCACAACATGAACCAGGCCATGAAGGAGGCTGTGGATAAGCTGGAAGGATCCCGGGCCAGGTCCTGCTCACAGGACTGGGACTACCAGGGGATGGAGGCCTGTGCGGCCCTGACTCACCCGTCTTGGCCACCACAGACACAGGCCCCACACGCTGCCTGCCACGAAGCCCGTAGAGGTTCATCTTATATTTCCGGTCGGACTCCAAGCCAGGGACAGTGACCTCGTTCTCATCCCCACTAATGCGTACTGCCTGGGGCTGCCCCTCTGCATCCTTGTACTGGACCACGAAGGAGTCAAAGGGGCCCTGGGCCACAGTCCATGACAGGCGTAGGGAGTCTGGGGTCACGCCGGTCACCGTCAGTTCCCCCAGGAGAGGCTGTTCGGGTGAGTCGGGTTGGGGGGGCTCCTCTTTCCTCTCTGGGGCTGTAAACAAGAGGATCCATCCAGGTGGTGAACTGGCAGCCTGGGATTGGGGATTGGGGTTTGGACGGGATGTCACACCTGGTGGGCGGGATGGGTCACTGCTCTATTAGTGTGAGTGCTAAACTCCTGGGAAGTCTGGCACAGTCAGGGTATGACACACCTTCTGGGCCTTGGGGAGCTGCTGAACAGGATGGAAGGGGCCCAGCAGTGTGGGGGAGGCTGGCTGCCCTTCAGCCCCGGAGCAGGGCCAGTATGCCAGAGTCATCCATCTTGCTGGGAGGCCCTAGCTTGTTCCTGGCTGAGGGCTTATGTGCAGAAGATTGAGAGTGGTCACATGGGGGCTTAGGTGGCTGCCACTTACCAGTGGTGCCATCGGCCATGAGGGGACCATATCGCTTCTTGTTGGCAATCCCAAATAGAGTGAATCTATACTTGTGGTCAGAGTCCAGGGGGGAGATGATGATTGAGCGCTCAGGCCCTTCCACAGGTACCACCTGGGGACGTCCATCCCTGTCCCTGAATTGGACCATGAAGGAGTCAAACTGGCCCTCAGGGACAGTCCAGGAGAGGTGCAGCGAGTCTGAGGTAGGGTCTGTCACCCAGAGCTTTCCCAGGCGGGGTGGGGTCCCTGGGCTGGGATCACTCTGAAGCACTAGGAAGAAGGGGTAGAGAGAAGGGAGGGACACACATCACAGGAGAAGAGGAACCCATCTCCCACACAGGGGTGCTGCGTGCCGTTGTGCAGACCATTCACTGTACAAAGGTGCATTGCCAAGGGAGCACAGAGGTACTGAAATCCAGCCAGCACTCTGCTTGCCAAGCTGTGCCCTGGTAAGGAGCTATGTCCACCTAGAGGAAGGGCTGCTTTCTTCCAAATGGCACAAAAGCACTGTATGGACTAGTGTGGCCCTGACTCAATCCACAACTGGGGGAGGTAGGGGGGGAGTCAGAAAGAGCAGAGCCCTGGGCCGGCCCCGTGGCTCACTCGGGAGAGTGCGGTGCTGACAACACCAAGGCCGCGGGTTCGGATCCTATATAGGGATGGCCGGTTTGCTCACTGGGTGAGTGTGGTGCTGACAACACCAAGTCAAGGGTTAAGATCCCCTTACCGGTCATCTTTTAAAAAGAAAAAAGAAAAAAGAAAGAGCAGAGCCCAGCCAGGCCTTTCCATATCTCCACAGCCAGGGAAATCTTCCCAGTACAAACTCCACTGCTTCCAGGCCTAACTACTAAGCTGGTTTCTCGTCCAAGAGAGGAGAGCAGGATCCTTGGGGTGTTTTAATGTGAGAGGGCCTCCCATACCTATAGGACTGGGACTCATCGATGACCCCGCCCTGCATCGCCCACCCTTCACTCCCTACCTGCTGTGCTACCAGCATTAAACATGCTCCTGCTGCCCCCACCCATTCTGCGTGCCTCTCCCTTTCGCCTCCATCTTCCCTCTTTGCTCCCTACTCATTCGCAGCCCAGACTCCAGAAAGTGTTGACACTGGTGGTAGCCATGTCCTCACCTCCACTGCCCTCCCATCCCGGCTCCACCCTGGCACCAGGCAGCTCTCATTGGGGTCAGTGGTGACCTTGCCATTGCTAGGTCCTGTGGACATTCTGTTGCCCTTGAGTCAGACTTATCTGACTGTGCCCTCCTTCCTGGCGTCCAGGACGCCTCTCTCCCTGGTTCTGCTCCTCCCAGCAAGTCACCCCTCAGAATACCCTGTGGACTCCTCTCCCTGTGCTCCTGCTGAGTGTTGGCCATCCCCTGGGTTCCAGGGTTCCAATGGTCCTGTCTCTTCCCACTCCCGTCCCCTCACCCTGGCTCCTATCCTTTGGCACTGACAATACCCACACTCCCTCTTCAGGCCTTTTCTCTGCTTTCCGGACCCACGATGGTGGCAGTATAACCCTGAGGCCCCGTCACGTTCTGCTTGGGTGACCTCTCCCTCTCTGTGCCTCAATTCTCATGCCTTGCAGGGCTGCTGTGGGGAGTGAGTGTGATGATACACTCAGAACATCCTGAACGCATTTGATGCTTAATAAATGCTCAAAAGATGTTTATCTAAGTGTCCCACACCATGCTGTCCCCACCTCTGCTGCTCCCTGCCTCAGGAATGCAACTGTCTGATCCAGAATCCTGGGGGCTGCCTGGGGCTCCTCATTCTCCTTCACCTCCCACATCCAGTGCTACAGTCACAACCCCAGCCAGGCCACCAACCCCCCACTCCAGCTCTTAACTTATTTCTCCAGCTACTCTCTGCAGCAGCCATAGTGCCATTTGTAAGATAAATATCTAATCATGTCACTCTCCCACTTAAGACTCTTAGAGGCCTCCTAGACCCCTCAGATGAGTCCCAGCCCTCAGCATGGCACATGAAGCCCTAAGGCCAAGCCCTTTAGCTCCCCCTGCTCTCCAGCCAGAGGAAACAGTGACATTGATTCTCCTACAGGCCATGGTCTCCCCTGCCTCGCTCACCACGTCTCCCTCTGCCTGCACTGCCCTTCTCAACCTCTCTGCCTGTCCCACCTCTACTTTTCCTTCAGGATTCATTTCAGGTACCACTGCCTCCGGGAAGTCTTCCGGAGCTCCCAAGGCAGGTCCCAAAGCACTGGGAAGACCTCCTTCAGGACAGTGCAGAGGGCAGGGGTTGGGTGTGACTGTTCTCACTCACAGATCTTGGCTTCAGCCATCAGGGGGCCATGCCTCTTCTTGCCCACGAGCCCATACAGGACAAATTTGTACTTGCGGCCAGGGTCCAGGGAGGTGATGCGGGCTGAGCGCTGAGGCCCCTCCACAGGCACTACCTGGGGCCCATCCCTGTCCTTGTACTGGACCATGAAGGAGTCAAACTCGCCCTCAGGAACTGTCCAGCGCAGAAGCAGGGAGTCAGAGGTCAAGTCGGTCACTGTCAGCTCGCCCAGTCGTGGTGGGCCCGAGGACTTCCCAGGCTTCTCCCCATCCCTGTCTGGAGTTTGGGGGGAAAAATCAAAGCACAGTGGCTCAAACATTCCCTGTCCCCCATCCTCTTCCCACCTCACTCCATCCTGAACAGCTCCCTCCCTGGAAGTCTCCATTTCCCCACCCCTCAGCCCTCTGTGATCAGCCCTCCAAGTCCTTCCCTAGTGATAGCTTCCCCACCTCTCACAAGGTCTTAGTCTCTCTGCACACCGGGGTCTTGAGGAAAGTTTCAAGTCCCCCATGGTTCTGCCTGAGAGTTTCAAGCCTCCCTGCAGTGGCTTCAGAGCAATCTTAAGCCTCCTTGGCCCACCTGAACCACTCTCTCCCTTGCCACTCTCGCTCTCAGTGGTGAGCTTGACCTGGACTTGGGGATAGAGTTGGCCACCCTGGTCCTATAGAGAGGGCCCAAGAGGGTATGTAAGAGCCAGCCACCCCAAGGCCCTGTCCTTCACTGGTCCTGCAAACCTCAGCCACCTTAGAAGTCCTGATGGTTGTGGAGCCCCCTACCCCAGGGAGCATCCACCCTCAGTAGAAACCAACTGATGGGACTATGGTGCTATCCACTGCAAGCCAGGCTCCCAGGGAGGTGGTGTTGTGGGCTGTGGGGAAGGAATGGGGAGGAGGGGCTGAGAGTCAGTATCTTTAGGGCCAGAGGTCTTTCCATGTCCCCACCCCACCAAGAGATCTATGGAGTGGAGCAGGGCAGAAGAGGGACCAGGAAGTGGGGGCAGGACACAGGACAAAGAAAGTTGCCTTTCTCCTTGAATCCCTGTCCCACCCTCTGACTTTTCTCTTCCTGCCTTCTTTTCCTGGAGTACTCCCCTCCCCTACCTACCCTGTCATTGTTCTAAGACCCCCTCCCTCCATCTTCCCTTTGAACCCACAACTTCTTTTCTCTCCTTGTTTTTTCCTATCATCCAGCCCCAAATGTTGGCTCTGCCCTTCACTGGCCCTTCAATCCTCATCCCACCTCTGAAGTCCTGATAACACCACTCCTCCCCCAATCTCAGGACATTGGTCTGAGCAGAGTACAAGATGTACCCATAATGCCTTGGTAGATGATAGGGGCTGAGGGCTTGCCCCCGGGGGAGACCCCTCGAAGTGACAGCTCGTAGGGGGCTCCAGGAGGGGGTGGGGGCATCAGAGCCTGGCGGACATCCCCTGGCAGCAGTTCCTCATGAGCCCCCGGCCCCTCGGGCACCCGCAGATGTAGCTGGAAGTAGGCAAAGGTGTCGGGCTGGGCAGTCCAGGCCACGTGGAGGCGCCCTGTCTCGTCTCTGCCCAGCACCCTCAACTCTCCCAGCTCCTGGGGGCGCTGCTGAAGGAGAGGGGCCCGGGCCCCTTGGGTCGTCGAGGGGCCTGAGGGAGGAGGCTCATCGGTAGCCCCCAAAAGGCCCGAGGGTGAGGACCCTGGGAAGGGGCAGGGTGAGAAAAATAGGAGAGTCGAGTATGAGAGCCGGAAAGGAATCCTCAGTCCCCAGGTTCTGCCCTCTGGGTTCTGAGCCTAGAGACGCCCCCCCTTTTCTGCTCCTGCTTCCACCACCTGGGCCACCCCATCCTCCTAAAGTTCTGCCCAGTCCTCCAAACACTCCCATCTACCAGATTCCTGAGCAGACAGGCCTGTGCTTAGGGCAGGTAATAAATGAAATAAATAAAACCTACTATCCCTCCCCCCACTTCTATGACCTCCAGTCCCCAGAGACTTCCATGTCCCTCCCCACATGCAACCCCTTTCCCCCACTGGGTGGTGGTCATGGCTTCCATTAGTGCTGCAGTGAGAAGCCTGGAAGAAAGGAGGAGACTGTGGTGTTAGGGAGGGAGGGTGCAAGCGGAGAGTGAGCAGGGAGAAGAAAGAGAGGGCATGGGGGGTGGACATCCAGGTCAGGTGGCATCTGGGCCCTGTGGGGAAAGAAAAGGTCCACCACCCTCCCACAGCAGACACAGAGCACCCTCTCCCCAAGCCTGGACTTGGTTCCTGTGGGAGAGACAAGCATGAGTGAGCCAGGAGGCCTGAAGAGGCAGCTCAAGAAGCAGTGGGCTCACCCCACTCCCATACACATGCTGCCTGATGGCTTCAAAGCCACCCCCAAGCCGTTTCAGTGTGTTCCTTTAAGGTCAAGGCCAAATTGTGGAAAATAGTAACCACTGACCACAGTCTTCAGCCACCCTCACCACAGTGAGTCAGAACGGGAATCACTGGTTTTAACCCTCACCCCACTCAAACTGCTCCAGTGAATCTCTGCAACTCCCCAGCACCCCCAAATGCCCCTTTCTATTGCCTAGAATAGCAATCCTGGCAGAAGTGCCTTGTGAATCTGAATAAAAATCAGGAAACCCCAAAGACCAGGTTCCCTTGGCCTTGGGTATCCACAGGATGATGCCAATCCCCTGGGGTAGGGGTGGCTTCTAGAGACACAGAAGGACATGCTTTGTTGTGGGGGTCCCCTGGAGCCTAGGCCAGGTAGGGCCTGAAGGAAGAAGGGTGTGGTGGGGGTGGCAGCCTGAGCCGTGAGGCGGTGGGGGGACTCGTGGATGCAGTCTCCACCATCAGGATGCTGGACAGGGGATGGGTGGTCCCGCGGCCCCAGCCCACGCTACCTGTGGTGGTGATGAAGGCGTAGGACTTGGAGGTCTGTCCCGCCCGCACCCCGTGGACCTCCACGTGGTAGGTGGTGCTGGGCCTGAGGTCGGGTAGGCTGACGGTGCGCGTGGTGCCGGGCACGGTCAGCTCCCCGCCGGGGCCCTCTGCGGGCGGCTGGGGCCGCCAGCGCAGCACTATGCGCTCGAACTGGCCGCGGAGCCCGTCGAGAGATACCAGGAGCGAGCCGTCGGCGGAACTGCCCAGCACCTCGGGCTTCGGGTGGCGGGGCGTAGCCACCCGATCGACGCCTTCAGGCGAGAGGCCGTAGATGCCCTGGTTGGAGTCCGGCTTCCTGGTGCCCGGGTCAGGGTGGGCGGTGGGGCGGGGGCGACGGGACGGTGGTGCAGGGGACCCGGCGGGGGCAGCGGCAGCCAGACGCCGCTGCAAATATTCATGGATGTGGCGTGCCACCGATGTGTAGGTCTGGTTGGCCCGCAATGGGTAGCCGTGGGCCCGCAGGTGGCGCTCCAGGTCCTGCACCGAGCCGCGGAAGCGGCCCAGCTCAGCCGTCAGGTTGCCCCACGGCCGCCGGGGGGACTGGGGCAGGCTCGGCCGGGGCCGGGACTCCTCCTCCCCGTTCTCTGCGGGCCGCGAGGGCCTCGGGGGCCTCGGGGGCTGCGGGGCCGGGGCAGGCCGGGGCCGGGGCTTGGGGGACGGGTCTGGGGGTCGCGCCTCCGGGTAACTGTAGTGGCCTGGTGCTGCCAGGGGCGAAAAATGGGGAGGGGGAGAGCTGGTCAGTGGCAACCTCCCCACCCCCGCCCCTCGCACCCCCCCACGGCAGCCCCTCCCTCCATGCTTCCACCAGAGCCAGAGGCCTTCCCTGTTACCCCAGCCCCACCTGGAAAGAAAACCGAGAGAAATGAGTCAGTGCCCCGGGAGCCCGAAGGGGGCTCCCGGCTCCAAGGGAGCCCGAAGGAGGCTCCCCTTCCCCCTCCAAGCCCACCACTGTTGGTGCCCTAGAAAGAAGAGAGAAGCCAGCGGGTGGGGCCCTGGATCTGAAGGAGAGAAAGGGGAGTGGGGGAAGAAAATATGAGCTACAGCCAGGTGGGCGTCTCCCTGTCACAAGAAAGAAAAGAAAGATCCGGGCATCTGTTAAGAAATCTTGAGGGTTAGTGGAAAATTACTTCTGTGAGACCCAGCTTCCAGCCACCCCAATCCTAAAATCAACAGGACTGATCCCACCTGCCTAATTCCAGTCCCCACAAGACCCAACTGTCAGCGCAAGACCTGCCCCTGTACCTAAGTATGGATGAGAACCTCTCTCATCCTGGTGGATCAGACAGCATCTCCTATTCTCCACATCTCTTTGTGGGGCAGTTCCTCCCCTAGTCTACCCTGCAGCCATCCTATAGGACTCCAAGTACCTGAGGGCTCTGTCTCCCCAGTGCCCTCAGGCCTGAACAAGTCCCCCTGCAGGTGCTTTGAGACTGCCACAAACCCTGCCAAATGTATTCAGAGGAGCCTGTGAGTCCTAGACCTGGGCTCTTGAGGAGGGGGCTTCTAGTCTTGGAAACCAGGGCCCTTCTCTAACCCATGGCCTTCCATACCTGTGTTCGCCCTGACAGAAGTCGGATAGCTAATGGCCCGGCCCCGCTCTGCAGTGACAGTCACCACATATTCCACGCCTGGCATCAGGTCAGTCAGCAGCGTCCCATCTGCGTCAGGGAGCACTTCTAGCCGCACCCTCTGGTTCCCGGCACTGACGTAGGACACCACAAATCGGTCCACCTCGGCCTGGGGCCGCAGCCAGCTGAGCTCCAGTGTGGTTGGTGTCACAGCCACCACGCGGAGGTCCTGGGGACCATCGATCACTATCAGGGTTAGAGAGAGGAGAGCTCAGGTAAGAGTCTGGTTCTTCAGTCATCAGCTTTCTTTTCAAGAGCCTGGCCCCCATCCGGCCCCTCCCCTCTGCCCTCCTGGAGGGCAGATTCCCAGCTTCCCTCTCAAATCCAGATCTCCATCCAGGAGCCCACCCCTACAGCCCCAGCTCTTACTGGTGGTGATGGTCTTGGAGGCAGGAGGGCCCCAGCTGGTCCCTCGAAGGGCACGGACCGTGACCTGGTACTCCTGACCGGGAGCCAATCCTCTCTGGTCATAGGCTGAAGCAGAGCTGGGCACCCGGGCCGTGAATGGGGGACTCACCCCCTCTGTCTGCGAGAGAGAGTGCACCGGGTGGATCAGGGGCTGACACAATCTCCCTTATCTTTTCTTTCTCCAATTCCAAATAGTGTCGACATGGAACTTGGCTCTATCTGGGAGCATGGGCAGTAACAGTAAATACTCCTAGAGCACTTATTCCATGCCAGTTCTCACAACCACCCTATGAGGCAGGTCCTATTAGTCCCATTTGACAGATGAGGAAACTGAGACACAAAAGGATAAGTATATTGCCAAGGTCACCAACACCAAGAAAGAGGCAGGAGTCTAAGCCTAGGCAGAATCCCCTCTCATGGGCTCTCCCTATTCATCTGCCAGTATTCCACCCAACACACATCAGGATTCTTCCTCTGGCTTTCCGCTGGCAACCCCATGCATTAGAAGGCTTTTCCTAAGTTCGATCATTTCAGAACAAATGAAGTAGATCACCGACGCCCTTTCAGGTCTCACTTCCTCCTTAAAGCATCTGTCTTAGCCTGAACCTCCCAACAGATGCCTGCTCCTGGCTGTGTGACCTGCATCATGACATTTCCCTTTAGAGGTTTCTTGTACGTTCAGCAGGCTTGTAGGCCCCTCAAGACAAGGTCCACCTGCTCAAAGTCCCACAGATACATTTCCTGATTGCTGATTTTGTACCTGGCATCATGCTGGGCACTGGAAACACACACACAAAAAATATATAGTCCCTGTCCTCAGGTAGCTCATACTCTAGTAGCTAAATGTATGGCCACATCTTAAGTTTTATTAGATTCCTACCCAAATCTCTATGCATAGCAAATCCCTGTGAGAAAACAAGTTTACATTTAAGGTATTGTGATTACATGTGGTGGCCCTGCAGGAAATCTGCTGGGCCCTTCTTCCAGGCAGGGTCTCCTGGAGTGCCAGCTGCTGGGGAAACAGGAGGAACTGGACATCTGTGAGCACTCTAACAGCTCTGCATTTTGCCAGGCTATCCAGCTAGGACAGCAGCTAAGGACACTCTGTTCTGCTTAGCTATGTTGGCTGTGATGGGGACACCTCCATTCAGCCAAGTAGGATTGGAAATTTCAAAAGGTACTCTCCTAAACCAAGAGAATTGTGGGGAAATCAACATACTAAATACCAAAGTATAAAACCAGATGAGAAGGCCACGTAGAAATTTCCTGGTTGAGGATAAAATAAAGCTTTGTCAAAGTTTTCTGTGTTGAAAAGGTTTCTGGGCCACACAGAACCCCTGTCCCCTTCCTACTTCCTCTGCCCTAGTCTAGGAAGCCTTAGGTGGTCTTCAAATCAAGACCCTCAAGGTCCTCATCCTTCCCACGATTTACTTGTTGACTAACTCTCTTTCTCATTCTCAAGTCCCCCAACACACATACACCCTTAGATACTCCCTGATAACGTCTGGTTCTTTCAACAAGGCAAACCCATCCCCAAAGTTCTCCTTCTCCCTTTAGACCAACCTAAATATATTCTTTAGACACCTCTTGGTTCCTCCTGAGATCCATTTGAGAAGAGTTCCCTGAAAGTCCCACTGTCAGCCTAACCCATGTCTCCCAGCACCATCTCTCTAGCCAGATGCTGGCAGCTGGCTCTGCCACTTGGTAAAGCTTGCTTGGCTGCTTCACTGATTGTTTTTGGTGACTTTTTGACTTATTTTCTTTTTTTTTTTCTTTCTTAATTTTATTTTATCAATATACAAGGAGGTTGATTTTGACTTATTTTCAATATCAACCTCCTGGCCCCAGATAGAGGACTCCACCTTGGCTGGTGAGGTAAGCTCCATCCTGGAGCTTACCTCACCCTCATCTCCCTTTTCAGATTAGACCCAAGCAAAAAAACTTTCCGAGGCTGCAAGGCCTTGTGTCCCAATGAACACTTAGCATAACTCCAGTTTCCAGGCTGCAGGATACACCCAGACAAGGAATACCTGCCTCAGTTTCCCCATGCTTTCTCTCACATTTATAGAGTGACTAGCATTTTACGAAACAGCAACATTCCTTAAGTTAGCGGTCCTCAGGCTAGAAGTGCATCAGGTCATCTGGAGGGTTTGTTACAACACAGGTTACTGGGCTTCACTCCCAGATCTTCTGGTTCAGTAGATCTGGGGGTGGAGTCTGACAATTTGCATTTCTAACAAGCTCCCAAGCTGATGCTGCAGGTCTAGGAAACACACTTTGAGAACCACTGAGTTGGTGTAACAATGCCACATATGCAGGGAGAGGAGGAACATCCTCTTATGCATTCTGAAAATAACTCCAATAACTAGGTGTATTGCTTGGCCAGGAATAACAGAGTTTGGACTTTCACAAAGAAGTGTTTCTAGAAAGAGGGAGGGCATGAGGTAGAGATAGGCTTCTAGGGGGGCTGGCCGGTTAGCTCATTTGATTAGAGTGTGGCCTTATAACACCAAGGTCACAGGTTCAGATCCTGGTACTGGCCAGCCACCATATTCTAGGAAGATGGCAGCGGCCAGAGAACAGCCAACTGCCAACAGAAATGGACAGAGAGCACTGGACAAGGCAAAAGGCACAATACCAGGGGTCAGCCACACAGAGCATAGAAAGCATGGTCTGAGGGCCAGTAGCACAGGCCGATGTTGAGTCCAAGAGGGGTGTCTGGGGACCAATTTTACAGGAGCGTCTTCCACACCCAGGCTCAGAGAGGACCCAGAATGTGACAGAGGACCTTACCCAGAGCAGAGTGGATGAACTGAGAGCATAATAAAACCTGGCACAGGTCAGCTCAGCACCACTCTGGCTCTGGGTGAGGGTAGCCTAGTGCTTCAGCTGGAAAGCTGCATCCCATGAGGACACCCAAGGATGGATTTGTATTTACTCAGAGCAGGAGACAAAGCTGCCCTGAAAGCTCCTCTTATCTCAAGCGTTTATTTTAATTCTTCTTTCCCTGAAGTTTTTTTTTTTTGTCTTTTATCTTTTTCCGTGTCCGGCAATGGATCGCAACCCTCAGTGTTGCCCCCGTACCGGACCGGGGACCGGCAACGGGATCGCAACCCTCGGTGCCGCTCCCGCACCAGACCGGGGACCGGCAACGGGACCGCAACC